TGTGCTCAGTACACGAAAACTCATTGAGCTGTGCATTTAGAGTATGAACTCTTTGGTATCTGTGTTCCAAAGGAACATATTAAGGAACTCACTATATTGGGGCATTGCTTTTCTTTGTAGATGTTATAATGGTTTTGTAGTTACCTTATTTTTAAGAGTCATGTCTGAAAGAGTTATCTAATGAAATGTTTATGGATGAAATGACATGGTATCTAGGATTTGCTTTTAAAAATCACCCATTTGGGCAGCCCGGGTGGCTCAGTGGGTGGCTCAGTGGTTTTGGGCCGCCTTCAGCCAAGGGCCTGATCTGGAATCCTGGGATCGAGTCCCACACCGGGCTCCCTTCATGGAGCCTGCTTCTCCCTCTGCCTGTGTCTCTGCCTCTCTCTCTGTCTCTCATGAATAAATAAATAAAATCTTAAAAAAAAAATAAAATCACCCATTTGGGGTGGGGATGGTAGGGGTGCAAAAGGAGTAGTGGATAATTCAAGATTAGCCTTGTGTTGATAACTATTGAAGCTAGGTAATGGGTAAATGGTGTTGATTATGCAGTTTTCTTTAGTTCTGTTTATTTTTTGAAGCTTTGGCCATAACAAAAACAAAAGGTGCAAATGCCCTATAGAATATTACTTTTAGGAGGGTTAGAACTCTTTTGGGACCTCAGTTACCACTTATTTCCCAAATAGAGCCTATCAGTTAGGAGCACTGGCTTTGAAGTTAGACTGACGTTCCGTTTATGAATCACTTAGTGTGTGTAAGGCTTGGATACCAGCACAGGACTCAGAGTTGAAAGTCTGCAGCTGGGGAGACCTGGAGCAGTCCCCCTTAGAAAAGGCAATCCAGGGGTCATCCCGGGTAGCTCAGTGGTTTAGCACCGTCTTCGGCCCAGGGCGTGATCCTGGGGACCCGGGATCGAGTCCCACGTCAGGCTCCCTGCATGGAGCCTGCTTCTCCCTCTGCCTCTCTCACGCGCGCTCTCTCTCTGTCTCTCATGAATAAATAAAAATCTTAAAAAAAAAAAAAAGGGCACTTGGGTGGCTCAGTTGGTTAAGTATCTGCCTTCTTCAGCTCAGGTCATGATCCCAGGACCATGATTAAGTCCTGCATTAGGCTCCCTGCTCAGCCGGGAGCCTGCTTCTCCCTCTTCCTCTGCCTGCTGCTTTGCCTACTTGTGTTCTCTCTCTCTCTCTCTCTCTCTCTCTCTCTCTCTGTCAAATAATTAATTAAGTAATTAAGTAATTAAAAGAAAAGAAAAAGAATGAAAAGACAATCCAGGAGTCTCGGCTGTAGGTAGAGGAAGAGCCTAGTTTGCACGTTGCAGGTGGATCATGCATTGAGTGAGATGGGGCCCGGGGCCATAAACACCTAATAAGTTCTGGCTGCTGGAGAACTTCATTTACATGAGAGTCTAAAGCCCTGATCCTCAAACTTATCTGGGGGCAGAGCACTCCCAATTCAGAATCCTCTTTGCAGAACTCTATGAGATATTTCAAAATATGATTCTGTCACAAACTAAAGATGCTTTTTCTAGTAGAAAATATGAGTCTAAGGCATGTGCAGGCTTCAACATCTCAAGAAATAACAATATAGAAAATAAGTTATATCAGTGTTTTTTCTGTTAGAAAATGTGATCATTGGAGGGCACCTGGGTGGCTCAGTGGGTGAGCGTCTGCCTTTGGCTAAGGTCGTGATCCCGGGGTCCTGGGATCGAGTCCCACATCGAGCTCCCCACAGGGAGCCTGCTTCTCCCTCTGCCTGTGTCTCTGCCTCTTTCTCTCTCTGTGTCTCTCATGAATAAATAAAAAAAAAAAAAAAAGGAAATGTGATCATTGGGGTGCCTGGGTGGCTCAGTGGATGAAGCAGCTGCCTTCAGCTCAGGTCATGATCCCAGGGACCAGGGATGGAACCCAGTGTCAGGGTCTCTGCTCAGCTGGGAGTCTGCTTCTCTCTCTCCCTCTGACCCTCCCCATGCTTGTGTTCTCTCTTGCTCATTCTCTCTCTCAAATAAATAAATAAGATCTTTAAAAAAGAAAAGAAAAGAAAGGAAAGAAAGAAAGAAAAAGAAAGAAAGAAAATGCGACCATAACAAGGACAAATGCAATTTGCTGCTCTTCTTTGCCTCTTCGTCGCAACCACAAGCAGGCTCCCCAGGGGTAAGAAAAAGTTGTGGCAGAAGATCCCAAAAGTAAGAATGTTGTGTCAACCGAATTTCTTCCTTTGACTTGGGAAAAATGCCCATTGTTGGAATAGCCATTGGTTTTGATACAGGCAGGTTGAGTCTAAGGGACTGAGGAGAGTCCCCAACACGGCCAAGAGGGTCCTTGGCTTCACACAGGATAGAAATCAAATGTAAGCCAAAGAAAGTGAAAACAGAGTTAATTGAATAGTATAAATGATGGGTAGAGAATAGCAGACAGAACGTTTGGGAGACTTGGAAAGGAAAGGAGAATGAGTCTTGTCAGTGCCTGGGGTTAGGGAGTTTACACTGGAAAGGGGTCTAGGGTTCTTGTTTCTTTAGGAGTCGAAAATAGGGCCCAACCAGAGGTAAGTGCCAGGTGAGCAACAGGCATTTTTTTAAAGATTTTATTGATTTATTCATGAGAGACAGAGAGAGAGAGAGAGAGAGAGAGAGAGAGGCAGACACACAGGCAGAGGGAGAAGCAGGCTCCATGCAGGGAGTCTGATGTGGGACTCAATCCTGGGTCTCCAGGATCAGGCCCTGGGCTGAAGGCGGCGCTAAACCGCTGAGCCACCTGGGCTGCCCAACAGGCATTATTCCATCAATTACCAAAGGTAGGGGTATTGATGCCAGTGTCAGCCTGGAACTTATTTGAAATCTGGTTCTTAGACATTATTAGGTGTTTGCGGCGCCTGGGCAAAATTTAGAGGATTAACTTTCTTGCTTCCCCCTCAAAGTGGGAACATAGCTTTTTTGACTTATTCTGAAATGGGGCCTAGTAGAAAAACAGCAGAGATAGAGCCTTTCTAAAATGGGAGTCCCTTCAGGGGCACCTGGGTGGTGAGTCTGTTGAGTGTCCATCAGATTGTGATCTCAGGTTGTAGGATCAAGGTCTGTGTTGGGCTCTGCCCTCAGCACGGAGTCTGCTTGTCTCTCTCTCTACTCCTCCCCCTACTTGCATGCATGCTTACTCTCTCTCTCTCTTTCACTCTCCAATCAATCAATTAACTTTTAAAATCTTAAAAATAGGGGAGCCTGGGGGGTCTGCCGCGGAAACAAGATGACGAAGGGGACGTCATCGTTCGGAAAGCGTCGCGATAAGACGCACACGTTGTGCCGCCGCTGTGGCTCTAAGGCCTACCACCTTCAGAAGTCCACCTGCGGCAAGTGTGGCTACCCTGCCAAGCGGAAGAGAAAGCATAACTGGAGTGCCAAGGCTAAAAGACGGAATACCACTGGGACCTGTCGAATGAGGCACCTAAAAATTGTATACCGCAGATTCAGGCATGGATTCCGTGAAGGAACGACACAGCCCAAGAGGGCAGCTGTTGCAGCATCCAGTTCATCTTAAGGATTTCAACGATTAGTCAAAATAAACGTTCTGGTTTAAAAAAAAAAAGAAAGAAATAGGGGAGCCTGGGTGGCTCAGTCAGTTGAGCATGTGACTTCAGTTTAGGTCATGGTCTCAGGGTCCTAGGATGGAGCTGATGTTAGACCCCATGCTCAGTGGGGAGTCTGTCTCTTCTTCTGCCCCTCCCCCCATTCATGCTTTTACTCTCTCTGAAATAAATAAATAAAATCTTTAAAATAAATAAAATAAAATAGTCCCTTCAGCTTCCCTACCTCAGTTTAGGCCAAGATCAATGCTATTTTTTAATATCAGTCTTTATCTATCTTCCATCAATAGAGAAGTCTATGACAGAATCTTAATTCACACAAATACATTTTTATTGTTATTTTGCCTACCTTGAGTGCCCATAACCTGCTTCTTCATCAAATGTCTACTCACATTTCAAAAGGCAGCCAGTGTATCACCCAATTTGGCATTTCCGTTGTGTACCCCATGCTTATCTGAACACACTCCAGTGAAAACCGTCTAGAACACCAGCAACAGCAGCTGGCATCTCTCAAGCACTTCCTTTGTTTATTGTGTACCAGACGCTGAGCTAAGCACTTGACCTATGGTAACCCAGACCTCACTACAACCCTAGGTTATATTTTTTAAAATATTTTTTAAAAAAAGATTTGTAATTAATTTGACAGAAAGAGAGAGAGAGGGAGAAAGACAGCACGAGCAGGGGGAGGGGCAGAGGGAGAAGCAGACTCCCTACTGAGCAGGGAGCCCACTGCAGGGCTCCATCCCAGGACCCCAGGATCATGACCTGAGCGGAAGGCAGATGCTTAACCGACTGTGCCACCCAGGCACCCCTACCCTAGATTCTATTATCTTCTCTCCACACTGGCGGGGAGAAGTTAAGTAATTTGCCTAAAGGCACACAGTAAGCAACAGCTCCCCAACTTGAAATCAGCTTGCCTTCCAAATTCAGCTTTCTTTTAGATTGTTGATTTCTTCTCCTGTCCTCCTAATTTGAATATATGTTCCCTGAATTCAGGGACCATTTCTTCTTCCTCTCTGTGTCCCCAAGGACTGATATGACCCCTAGCACACAACACAGGCTCCAGACTGTTTCTGCTATGTAGTCATCTCTCTGTTTTAGTCAGTTGCTCTTGAATGAATCAGTTTGTAAATATTTGTTTCTCTTTACATATGAAAAAAAGGAGTGAAAAGGTCATGCTGACTCTTTTTTTTTTAATATTTTATTTATTTATGCATGAGAGACATATATAGAGAGAGGCAGAGACACAGGCAGAGGGAGAAGCAGGCTCCATGCACCGGAAGCCCGACGTGGGATTCGATCCCGGGTCTGCAGGATCACGCCCTGGGCCAAAGGCAGGCGCCAAACCGCTGCGCCACCCAGGGATCCCGGTCATGCTGACTCTTAAGTATTTTTCTGTATGTGCCCTTGTGATTTCCCCACAGGGAGGTGAAGAACGTTGATCAAAGAGCATTAGAAAAAAAGAAGGCAAACCACATGTTCATCCAACCTTCAACCTTCCTTGAGGAATCCTTTGACAAGAAACCTAGAGGAAGTCATGAGAGGGAGACTGCGTTTCTTTCAAGGTTTGTTCTAACAAAAACCATGGAAAAGTGGAAATACAAACACTGTATTTTTTTTAATTTTTTTTTATTTATTTATGATAGTCACAGAGAGAGAGAGAGGCAGAGACACAGGCAGAGGGAGAAGCAGGGTCCATGCACCGGAAGCCCGATGTGGGATTCGATCCCGGGCCTCCAGGATCGCGCCCTGGGCCAAAGGCAGGCGCCAAACCGCTGCGCCACCCAGGGATCCCTGTATTTTTTTTTTTAAAGTAAACTTCACACCCAGTATGGAGCTCAACATGGGGCTTGAACTCACAACCCTAAGATCAAGACCTGAGCTGAGACCAAGAGTCAGATGCTTAACTAATTGAGCCACCCAGGCACCCCTGTCAGAATTTTTTTTTTAAGATTTTATTTATTTATTTGAGAGAGAGAGAGAGAGAAAGCACAAGCAGGGGAGGATGGGAGGAGAGAGACCAGCAAACTTCCCATTGAGTGAGATGCCCAACACAGGGCTCAGTCCTAGGACCCTGAGATCATGACCTGAGATGAAGTCAGATGCCTAACCAACTGAGCCACCCAGGTGCCCCTAGAATTCTTAATACATAGAAAAGAACACATAAAGGTTTACTCACTTTTATGTGTTATTCACCCAACTCTCATTTTTATTATAATTAATGGTGGTAGTAAGAGCTACCAGTGATTTTGTACTTCTTTGCCAAGCATTTGTACTTTATGAACTGTATGTCAGAACTCTTTTGCTGCAAGTGCCAGGAAACCAGCTCAAACTAGCTTGAGGAGGAAAATCTAGTAGCTGCAATAACTGGGATGGCCACAGACAGGCCAGCTGCAGGCATGTTAGACCTAAAAGCTCAATGCCATATTTAGGTTTGTGCTCTCTCTCTTTCTCTCTTATTCCCTCCCGCCCTCCTTTCCTCTATGTGCTGGCTTGTTTTCCAAGCTGCCTTTGGCCACAGAAAAAGAGGGCCACAGATAGCACCAAGCCTGTGTATCTATCAAGATTCCAGTGACATCTTTGAAGAAATCACACTGAATTTTTGATCCGATTTTGTTGTGTTTTTTATTTCCCCCACAGGAAGGGAAAGGAGGAGAGGGAAAGAGAAGCAAGACAGAAGTTGGACTGGTCTCCCCTTTCACTCTCAGGCACTGACTAATTCTCTCCCCTAGGACTGGGAAGCTCCTGCAGGAGCCCAGGAGCTTTGATATTTCTACCAGGTAAGGCAAAACAACAGGAAAAAAAGGACACTGTGGCCGGAGACTAAGAAACAGAAATAGCAATTCCTAGGATAGGGGAAATATACCATCATAGTTTTTTCTAAGCTGAATGAGGAGTTTTTTTGTTTTGGTCACTACATTTATTCATGCATTTACTCTTTTATCCATTATTTTATTTAAAATATTACAAATAATAATATTAAATTACAATATAATAATGGCTTTAGATATAGACTAAACAAGTAAGCTAAAGACCTGACAAATGGGCAGCCCTGGTGGTGCAGCAGTTTAGCACCACCTGCAGCCAAGGGCGTGATCCTGGATACCCTGGATCGAGTCCCACGTCAGGCTCTCTGCGTGGGGCCTGCTTCTCCCTCTGCCTGCGTCTCTGCCTCTCTCTCTCTGCATCTCTATAAATAAATAAAATCTTAAAAAAAAAAAAAAAAAGACCTGACAAATGTCACCTCATTTTGATCTTCATAACAGCCATATGAGGTAGACATTAGCCACTGCGTTTTGCACAGCAGCAAGCCTAGGTTAGAAGGGATTTTAGGGGTACCTGGATGGTTCAGTCAGTTAAGCATCCAACTCTTGATTTTGACTCAGGTCATGATCTTAAAGTCATGAGATAGAGCCCTGTGTCAGGCTCCATGCTCAGTATGGAGTCCACTTGAGATTCTCTTTCACTCTTCCTCTGCCCATAAATAAATAAATAAGTAAGTAAGTAAGTAAATAAGTAAATAAATAAATAAATAAAATCTTTTAAAAAAAGAAGAAGAAGAGATTTCAGAAGTTCCCTGCACTAGATGCTGTGTTAAATAACATAGTTAACACAGTCCCCATTTTCAAGGGGCTCACAGTCTGGTAGAGAGAAGGCAGTTGTCTCAACAAATAAACCCCCTAAGCTCTGGAGGTACTGTTAGACAGAGGTCACCCTAGGAGCCATGCAGAAACGCTTTAGTTTAAATAATATATATATATTATTTTATAAATATTTATAATATTTTACTTATAATAATATAAATATTTATTTATAAATATATAATATTTTATATATTATAATATATTTTATTATATAAAAATATATATATATATTTAAATAATCTCTACACCTAACGTGGGACTCAAACTCACAACCCCAAGATCAGGAAGTCACATGTTTTTCCAACTGAGGCAGCCAGGTGCCCCCAGAAACACTTTATAGAAGTGGTATTCCTTGACCTGAATTTGGAAAAGATAAGGTATTTGTCAGGCAGAAGAAGGGGGATGAGGCAAGAGGATGGCGTTCTTGGTGGACAGAGCAACAAAGGCAAAGGCTCAGAGGCAGGAATTAGCATGGCAGGGGATCAAGAAAGTGTGTGAGGGGTTCCAGGAGAGGTGAACATGGAGATCCCTGGAAATCAGGAAGGGATGGCCACGAAGCACTTTATTTTCTAAGTATTGGGGAGTTGTGGATTTTAAAAATCTGAATATTTTAAAAATCCTGATGGCAGATGAAGCAGTAAAAGGAGATTTGACTCTAAAAAGATCTGGGTTGTTTTTTTTTTTTAAAGATTTTATTTATTTATTCATGAGAGAGAGAGAGAGGCAGAGACACAGGCAGAGGGAGAAGCAGGCTCCACGCTGGGAGCCCGACGTGGGACTTGATCCTGGGACTCCAGGATTGCGCCCTGGGCCAAAGGCAGGCGCTAAACCACTGAGCTACCCAGGGATCCCCAGATCTGGGGTTTTGAATCTTTGCCCTGCTCCTTCTGTGACTCTAGGTCAAATACCTCCATTCTCTGGGCCCGTTTCCTTGGCCCTAAGAGATGTGGATGGTTGTTATATGTGAAAAGTTAACTCATATAAGTTATATAACTCATAGTTAACTCATAACTCATATAAAGAGCCTGGCATAGAACCTGTCAGTAATTAATAGTCACTTTATTTATTATTGTTTCATAAAGCTTCTTACATTCATTTATCCAGAACACCTTTGAGCATGCCTGTTTGAGACCACTGCCCTAGCCCAGCCCAGAAGGACTCCTGGGTTTTCTGGGCCCTGGACTGGCTGAGTTCTTACCTCTTAGGGCAGTGGTCTCTTACCCTACTTACCCACCACCAGGCACTGAAATGGTGAAACTCCACAAATTCCTACCTGCAAGGAAGAGGCTCTAACACACAAATTCCTACCTGCAAGGAAGAGGCTCTAAACCCCAAGAGTTTCACATTAAGAGAGGGCACAACCAGGTCCAAAAATGTCTCCCCAGACACTTCTTTCAGAAGTCACTGAGGACTGGCAACTCTAGACTTTTCAGGGCCCAAAGAAGAGCAAACCTGCTCCTCCTATTGCAAATACTGAAGGGGGAATTGAGGGAAGTAGTCTTTGCCCTGTGCTAGGCATATTCCATTGTCCCATTCAAGTCTAGGAACAGTTCTGTGAAGTAAATTTTATTTTTCCTGTTTTTCAAAGGAGGCAGCTGAGGCTTGCTTAAGTCAAGGCCTGGGCTCCTCCTGGGTCATCTGTACGTTGGACCATTCTGGACTGGGAGGTTTGGAGCAGATCCATTTTGGAGAAGACATCTAGTCATTAGTTTTACAGGATTACTGCTCTAGGGTGGAGGAGGAGGCGGGCTTCAGGTGCAGATGGACTAGCAGGTGAAGGATCAGATGCTGACATACTCAGGGTGTTTTCCTGAGCTCAGAGCCCTGATCCTCCCATGTTCTGGGGACAGTACAGCAGAAGTTGTCTTGCTCTTTGCAGAAGCCCATAAAAATATCACTGCTTTAAATTCTGTCACCCAAATAAAGGACTATTGAGTAGCATAAAATATGGATCTTCAGTATATCTGCAAACTTTGGTATTTTAAAGTAACACATAACATGTTAAGAAATTACAACTTGATTACAGATTAATTTTTTTCTTAATTATAACTTTTACTTACTCATTCCTTTTATCACCTTGAGCAAGGACACCCAACAGAGTCGTGCTTGCCAGGTCCCTACTCCATTCTAAACATGGTCTGTGTATTCTTTAATCCCCACAGCACTCCTGTAAGATATGGGGTGTCATTATCCTCATTTGATAACTGGGGCAGCTGAGGCCCAGAAAGGTTTAGTGACTATTGCCCAGGATCTGGCCTTTGGTAGACAGATGAGCCAGGATTTGAAACCAGCAGCCAGACTCTAGGGCCTGTGCTACAGCCTTTTTTTTTTTTTTTTTTAAGATTTTATTTATTTGAGAGAGAGAGAGAGAGAGAGAGCACAAGCAAGGGGAGCAGGCAGAGGGAGAGGGAGAAGCAGGCTTCCCGCTAAGCAGAGAGGCTGACGTGGGGCTCATCCCAGGACCCTGGGACCGTGACCTGAGCCAAAGGTAGATGCTTAACCAGCTGAACCACCCAGGTAAGAGAAGGTTTAAGAAGCAAATTTAAGGGACGCCTGGGTGGCTCAGTGGTTGAGCGTCTGCCTTTGGCTCAGGGTGTGATCCTGGGTCTGGGGATTGAGTTCTACATCAGGCTCCCTGCAGGGGAGGCTGCTTTTCTCTCTTCCCAAGTCTTTGCCTCTCTCTCTCTCTCATGAATAAATAAATAGATCTTTTCTAAAAAAAGAAGTAACTTAATATGAAGAAAAGTTATCAATTTATTTATTTTTCTTTGATTAAAGAAACAGCCACTGATTATAACAGCATGGTTTGCACCCACTGGTTTGAGCTACAGAGTCTCTTGAGTTAAGAGGGATTTATAAATGCTATTGTTTCTGACATTCTAATATTTCAGAATGGAAGAAGAAAGCAATCATTTCAGTTCATTTAAACAAGTATTCATTGCTCTGTCCTCTTCCTTAAACAGGCTTTACTCACTTTTTCATCTGACAAACTCCTACCTGACCCTTAAAGCCCAGCATGGGCTCCTCCTTCAGAAAGGCTCCCCAAACTGCCCTAGTGACTGCCTACTTTGAGCTGTGTTTTTCCAAGCTTGCTCCACTGAATATGATCTGCTTTAGTGATGGAATTGTCTGTCTCCCTTTCTGTTCTGTAAGTCTCCCAAGTTCAAGGACCTTGTCTTATTCAGCATTGAATCTTTTGTACCTGCTCCTATGGCTCACTTGTAGTAAGGATTCAGTGAATGTTTGGTGAAGGAATTAATGATTAATGTGTGTTTAGCATTTTGCTTCAGTTCCTTGCTTATACACAAAATTGGTCACATTTTAGAACTTTGCCTCTCTATATCCATAAAGTTAGGAATAAATCCTCTTAAAAGATCACACTGATTTAAATTTTTTTGTTCTTATTTGAATTAAAACAATACATACTCATCCTTTAAAAATTAAATAGAGAGGCAGCTCTGGGGTCAGATCACCTGGGTTTTAATCCCAGTTCCTCTACCTATTACCAGCTCTGTGACCTTAAGCCACTTAACTTCTCTGTGTCTCAAGTTTCTTCTTTGGAAAATGGGGATGATAATAGTATGTACAGCATAAGGTTGTTATGAGAATTCAATTGGTTAACATTTGTAAAGCACCTAGAACAGTGCCTGACACAAAGTAATACATAAGTGCTCATTAGATTAACCAATTAATGGGGCACCAGGGTGGCTCAGTTGGTTAGGCATCTGACTTGATTTCAGCTCAGGTCATAATCTCAGGGTCATGAGACCCAGCCCTGGTGGGCTCCACACTCAGCGGTGTGTCTGCTCTCCCTCTGCCCTTTCCCACTGTGTGCACTCTCTCTCAAATAAATAAATAAATAAATAAATAAATAAATCTTTAAAAAAATTAACTGATTAACTATGAAAAGCATAAGTGCTTATTAAATTAATCAGCTAATAGTTCAGTTAACATTTTAACAAAACTTGTTAAAAAATTGCATTTCTCTGGAACCCTTTTTCCATTCCCCAGCAACACATTTCCCACTTTCTTTCTTTTGGGGGTTGGGAGGGGTAGAGATTTTATTTATTT